ATGAGGCAAAGTCCCAGCTCTTAGTGAGGTTACAATCTAGACTGGGAGAAGATGAATATTAAGTGAGTAAACATAAACACAAAAACTGCAGGGAGTAGTAAATGCTATGCCGATAATCTGCGGATATGGAGTGACAGGCACTTTCATATACTCCTGGTAGTATGTAAATTATTAAACAAAGTAAAAAGTAAATATATCTTATGCCCCTTCAATTTCACTGTGTCTCATGTACCTATAAGTCAGGGTAGGAACATTCATGACAGTATTATTTTTAGTACAGTCATGTACCTCAAAATGGCATTTTGGTCAGTGATGGAGCACATATGCAATGGTGGTCCTGTAAGATTATAATAAGCTACACCACATAACCTATGTATGAGGTAGGTTCATCTAGGTCTGTGTAAGTACACTTTGATGTTGGCGCAGAGACAAAATCACCATCAAGTAATGCATGACCGCGGTTCAAAACTAGAAGCACCAAGTGTCCACCAGCAGTAGAATGCAAATACATTGTAGTGTAGTCATACAACAGGGTGCTATACAGTAATAAAAACTAATAGACTACACTTGGTATGAATGAGTCATAAAAACATATTGTAGAGGGGAAGAAAGCAGACATAGAACATGTTCTATTTATATAAAATCAAAAAACTTAAAAACTAAGCTATATTGTTTGAGACAACATATTTAGATAAGAATTAAAAAAAAAAAAAAAAAAAAAAAAGCAGTTACCATAAAAGTCAGGATAGGGTGGAACCAGCAGTTATCCTAATGGCTTTTTCACTGAACTCCCATGTAGTCAACCGCCGTTCGAATCCCAGACCTGGTGGTTTATACTCATGCCAGGCACATGTGCATGTGTGCCCAAGATCCCGAGAGGAAAATGGAGGAGAAGGGATTGTGGTGTGGCCAGCACCCATCCCCCGGGGGGTGATTTCTCACTTTCTGTCTCTCTCTCTCTGTCTTTCTGGTGAGCGCACGCTCCTTGTTGCAAAAATTTCTAAAAAAAAAAAAAAAGTCAGGATAGGGTTACCTTTGGATAAAAGAGAAGAAGTTATGATTTGAGAGGGAAATATAGAGGAGATGTTTCTGGAGTGCTGGTAATATTCTATTTCTTGACCTTAGTGGTAGTTATATGGATGTTTGTAATAACCCATTAAACTGAACATTTATGTTTTAGGCACTTTTCCATTTGTATTTTATCTTTCAAACAAACAGTAAGATGATAGCGTAAGTATAGTTTATGTGTATGAGCATGTACGTGTGTATTTAATAGTTTATTGCAGTATTGACATACAGTAAACTATACATTTAAAGTATTCAACTTGAACAGTTTGAGCATATATATTAACCCAAAAAACCATAACCACGATCAAAATAATGCATGTGTCCTTTACCTCTGTTTCCTCTTGTCCCTTTATTATCCTTTCCCCCCACTTGCTAGTCTTCATTCCTTCCCATTGAGGCAACCACTGATTTGCTTTCTATCACAATAGATTAGCTTGCATATTCTAGCATTTTACAGAAATAGAGTTATATGTATAGGGCCAGCCAATGGCGTGGTGGTTAAGGTGACTGGATCCCACAAGACTGACTACTATTGGAGTCTCAGACTCTGTGGCTTGAGAAACATGCCAGGTGTGCATCCCAAAAGGAGAGAGAAATGAAGGAGAAGGGATTGCGGCATGACCATCCCCTCTGGGGGTTGCTTTTTCTCTGTCTCTCTCTCTCTCTTTCTCTCTCCCCCCATATGTCTCTCTCCAGTGAGGGCACATATCCTCAAGTACATTTTCTTTTTTTTTTTTTAAATCACATAGTACGTACTTTCATTTTTATTTGGTTTCTTTCACTCAGCATAATTTTTTGAGATTTATCCATAGTGTTGCATATATCAGTAATCCATTTCTTTTTTATTGCTGAGTTGTATTCCTTCATATGTATATAACACAGTTTGTTTATCCATTCATCTGCTGATGGGTGTCCAGTTTCTGACTGTTACCAATAAAGTTGCTATAAGCATTCATATACAAATCTATAGACATATGCTTTCTTTTCTCTTGGTTAGATACCTAAGAGTGGAATAGTTTGTGTATACATGTATGTTTAACTTTTAGAAAACATAAGTATAGTTTTGTAACCATTCTTTCCATGTAATATATTATGAAAATGTATCCAATAAGTATATTCCTGTAAAATTATTAACAAAATTATTACTTTATAATATTAAATATACTCAATATTTATTTATTTATTCATTTGTTGTGGTTGTTCAAGCTGCCAAGTCCAGGACTCAAACCATGAAACTGGCCATGTGGGAATCCAGCACCTTAACCACCAGACTATCTGCTGGGCTCCCTGTAAAATTATTTTAAGTCCCTATATAGTGATCCATCAATTAAATATGTCAGAATGTATTTAATAAGTTAATTTTTTTGTAAACATTTAGTTTCTGTTTTTTCACACTTATAAACAGCATTCCTATGGACATTTTTAAGACTACATCTTTGGACAGGTGCTTAATTATTTCTTTAAGGTAAATGACTAGAAATAAAATTGCTTGGCTCAAGTTTTTGTTACAGATTGGCCCCTGAATATATGACAGATTAAATCACAAATTGGATTTATTTTTCACTTGAATACTAGATTTATATTAGGTACAGTTACTCAAAATATTCCTTTTTTGTAATGAAGCTGGGTCTTTTTACTTTCTTTGGATTTCTAAATGAAAATAACCTGAGACTCAAAATTGGTTTATTCTGTCTCATACAATAAATGAAATTTGTTTCTGAATCACATGTACCTGTGAAAGAATTATGCTTGGAATTGGGAATTTTGTAAAATTAAGGACAGATATTTAAGAGATTAAAAAAATGGTAAATTATAGAAATAGTATGTGTGGTACAGTTACATTTAGGTTGTAAAATATATTTTACTATTTAATATTGTTTACTATTTGAAACAGTTTATATAATATCTTAGTTCTCTCAAGATGCTACAAAATACCTTAGACTTGGGTGACTTTCAAACAAACCGTATTTATTATCGTTTAGAGACTTTTTAAGTAAAAACTGAGGGTGCTGGTGGTATCTGCTGTAGGATCTCATTTCCTTATAGATGGTACCTCCTCACTGCATCCTCACATGTTGGCCAGAGCAAGCTCACTCTCTGGATTCTCTAGTATGGACACTAATCTTTTAACATTTCGCTTATGACTTAATCACCTCCCACAGCCCTACCTGTCACAGTGGGGATTAGATTTCAACATTTGAATTTTGGGGGAGACACATTCAGACCATAGCATATAATACATGGTTCATATTGATATAATATAAATTAATGTATATATATCTATACATAAAATATTTGTATTTCATTATACATGCACAGTTTTTAGACATAGTAAAAAGTTTGGTAACTGTGAGTCAAGTACAGTGGTGCTATCTGAAGGGTGGTATTACGGGGAGGGCTTTTATTTGTACTCTGTATGTTTCTGTGTTTGAATTTTTGTTACAGTGAGCATGAACTACATTTACTGTTGGGAAAAATAAATATATTCAGTACTTTAATTTGGAAAAAATGGAGACAGCTCCATAGTTCAGTTTAGGGACATTTTAGAGTAGAGATCTTTTGGAGAAGGTCCAGCCGGTTAGAATGACTATGACAAATGTGTCTTATTTGCTAGAATATATGTCTTTTTACCAATTACAGTCTCCTACCCAGTGTGTTCTTGAATTGTTAGTCAGCAATTAATACTGTCTACTCTTTCCTAAATTCTGTCAGGCCAGGCATACTTTGTAATTGATATGTTATGTAGCTTGTCAGTTCCAGTGTTCTAGTGCCTATTATATTTCAGCATACCATAACTGGTTAGGGTAGTGTCACATAGTTTCATTCATTTTTTTTTTTTCTGCACATTTGTCTCTCCATCTGTGAGTACAGCATTTTGTTGATCCTTGCACATATTCCATGTATCTGTCTATACTCTGACTTTGAATCTGGTAATTGACCACTGTATACTTTAATTGGTGACCACTGTGTTCTAAATACATTGTAGTACAAGTGCATAGTAATTATTTCCCTCAGATCAGGCAAGTTTCGTCAATAAATGCAGGTATTTAAATACTTAAAGTTTGTAGTACTGTAATGTATTACAGTGTAACTCAACTGTAGATACCAGGAGACCCATGTGATTATCCTAGCTCTATTATGTACTCAAGTGGTTATATCTTCTACTTAGGGCTAATAATACTTATTTACTGAAGTATCCTAACAAGGAATGACCATTGAGTCAGTCATGAAGATTAAAGTAGGGGATGCATGTGAGAATTCTGTTTGTTTGTGTTTTTTTTTAAGAATTATTTATTTAATTTTATTTATTATTATTTATTTTAATTTGCTATAGGGCACATGTGCTCACCAGAAAAAGAAAGTAAGAGGGACCAGCAATGAGCGTAATGGCTATGTTACTGAACTCCCAGGTAGTCAACTGCGGTTCAAGTCCCGGACTCAGTGGCTTAAACTCACGCTGGACACGTATGTGCGCGTGCCCAAGATCCCGAGAGGAGAATGGAGGAGAAGGGACTGTGGCATGGCCATCCCCCCGGGGGGTGATTTCTCGCTTTCCCTCTGTCTCTCTCTTTCTTTCTGGTGAGCACACACTCCCTATAGCAAAAACCTCTCCAAAAAAAAAAGGAAGTGAGAGAGCCAGCTGCCAGCGCCAAGCCTCAGGCTGCAGTAGGCCATGCTGGAAGCCAGTGTCTTAACCACCAAGCTACCTGCTGGCCTCCTGTGAGAATATTTTATAAATAACAACATACAGTGCAGATGTAGGTCCGTACTTTTGTTATTGTGCTAATTCAGGGTCTTCCTGGTGGCTTAAGTAGTAGTGGTGGTGTCGGTAGCACAGAAGGAAAATATTGCTAGTGCTTTTTTTTAAACATTACTTTCTCATAGCTCCAGACTAGTACTTTCATTACAAAAATTTTAATTGTCTTAGGAACACTCATAACTATTTACATACCCAGAAGTTGACAAAGAAAGGCATAAAAATATATTTTAGTGACTTACCAGTAAACACAAATTTGAATTCTATGCAGTGGTATTTTCTCAGCTACAAATAGTTTGTTTGTCCTGGAAGTTTTATTATCTGACTGATTCATGTAGATCTTTCCCCTACAAGACAATAGTAAATAGAGGGATGTACCATGTGTGAACAGCTAAAATGCAATTTAATATCCATAATTTAGATATATTTTAAATTTTAGCTTTAGCTGTTATCTTTTTCTTTGGCTTTTCTGAGCAACCACATTTCAATTCATGACCTAATTAAGCAATCTCTTATGAGCATTCTGAAAAAGTAAAAGAAAATCTCTGATTTTTATAGAAAGACTTAAACATAATTACCAGTAGGTATATATTCTACTTTCTGTTCTTGAAAGTCTAACGAGAATGTCTATTCTGTATTCAAAAGACAATAAGGAAATTTCTCATGAAAATATTACAGCGTTCTCCTGAAAAATGCCATTGCTTCTTTGCTTATCATTTTACAAATATTTATTGCATACACATTGTAGAAATTATAATGATATGATCCTCTTTTCTCATAAAACCTTTGACATAATAATTAGGGAAAGTAAAGGCTAGACCTCAATATCTAAAAATAATATAAATATTTTGTTGATCTTTTTGATCATTCTCAACCTCTTCCATTATTTTTATTCATACCTCTAATAATTCAAACAGGAAAAATGTAAAATCTTGGAATGACCATTAGCTTTGTTTTACCCAAGTTGCTTTATGTTTAAAATAGTAAAAGTTGCTGGGCCAGCATGTGGTGTGGTGGCTAAGGCACTGGATCCCACATGACCGATTGTGTGGTTGCAATCCCGTACCTCCAGGCTTGAAAAAACACATCAGACAAGGCAAGGGCGAGGGCATCCCCAAAATGTCTGAGAGGAGAATGGAGAAGGGATTTCACCATTGCCATTTCTGTCCCCTCTCTCTGTCTCTCTCTGGTGAGCGCATGTGCCTTATAACAGAAACATTTTTAAAAATTATAAAATAGGGACCCGCAGTTGGCATAAAGGCTATGTCGCTGGACTCCCATGTAGTCGACCGCGGTGCAAGTCCCAGACTCAGTGGCTTAAACTCACAGTGGGCACATGTACGTGTGTGCCCAAGATTCCAAGAAGAGAATGGAGGAGAAGGGATTGCGGCATGCCCATTCCCCCGGGAGGTGATTTCTTGCTTTCTGTCTCTCTGTGAGCACATACACCTATAGCAAAAACCTCTCCAAAAAAAAAGGAAACAATATATTTTTAGACTGTTGAAAATTCATATAATATCACTTTTGGGGATCATGCCACTGGGTCTTGCAAGAATAGTGGCTGTCACGAGAAGGGGTTACTTCTTGTGAGAGCTGGTTGTTATAAAAGAGAGAGCTGCCAGGAGCTCACTCTCTCTGCATACACCTGCCATCCTGTCAGCCTCGTTTGGCCATGTTGTAGGCCAGCTCAGTCAGTGTCCGCCTTATGCATTTGGACTTTCTAGCCACCGGAATGATGAGTTAATAAACCTCTTTTTAAATTTTCATTATTATTTTTTAATTTGCCAGAGCACATGTGCACTTAAGGCACGGAAAGCAAAAAAGCACCCTCTGGGGAGTTAGAGTGGGGAGGGGGACACCCCTAAGTCTCATTTCTTCTTTTCTCTTCTCAGAATTTTGAGCATGCAGGCGTTTTTGCACCAGCATATTTTTCAGGCGACTGGGTCAAGTGTTTGATCTGCACAGTCAGCCATGTGGGATCCAGCCTTCTTAACTACCGTGCCGCCAGCTGATCAGAAACCTCTATTTCTTTTCTTTTAAAAAAAATATTATTTTTAAAACTATATTTATTATTATTGTTATTACTTTTTAATTTGCTGTAGGGCACATGCACTCACCAGAGAGCGAAAGAGAGACAGAAAGTGAGAAAGCAAACCTCTAGGTTCAGGACTGAACAGTGGAGTCCCAGCTGGACTCCCAGCCACATGGGAGTCCAGCTCCCCAACCATCATGCCAACTGCTGGTTGCATTTGTTTATGAATAGAGGTTTCTCAATCTCAGGTAATTCTCTTAGCAACAAAACAACATAATAAGACAATAAGAAAAATGTTTTTCTTAAAATTATCTAAGGTAAATGAAAAGAAAAATAATGGGTTTTGAAGCAAAACTGTATTTCATAGAGCTAAAACCTAAATGAGCTTTACTTTATGTTTCATCAAAGCCATAATAACATGACCAGTTTTCTAGAAATAGTACTGTTTCATTATGAGTTTTAGCACAGAGAAAAAGTTGTGTTTTTCACCTTTGGTTTGTACGTGAAAATAAATTACTGTTACTGTTTTCAGTGGACCTCTAAGAACACTTACGACTTTAGGTTAGCTTTATAATATTGTTAAGTTGCTCAAGCTACATGTTCTCTGTTGAAACACTAAGTATTTCACATATTGTATGCAAAATTGCTCTGTAATTCACTAAAGCAAAATTAAATAATGGTGATTAATTTTGAATTATCAATGTAATGATTCTGTAGGAATTTGGTAAGCTCTGAGGTCTAATGGGAAACGTACTTGTCTTTAGTTTGTGTTTTTTTTAATATTAGATATAATAATAGGATTATGGTTGATGTATATAATTAACTGTTGTTAGCACATTAATAAATTTATTTAACAGGTACACACTAAATACGTACACTGGCAGGCATTTCATTTGGATTAATTTGCTTCTGTGTAAGTTGGGGTGTTGGCTTTGTTAATGTCAAATATATTACTCTGGCCAGGATGACTTTACAGGCTCTGTAGCTTTCATCTTGGTGGGCTGATGATTTTAATAGAAATAATTTGTTATTCTGAAAGCTTAAATTAAAAATTAGTATAATGCTTTAGAAAGAGTTAGTTCCTGATAGATCTAACAGTTTGGTGCTAACTTTTCTTGCTCTATTAACATGGTGCTGTCTGTAATAATGAATCATTCTATTTCAGATGTTTGTCTCTTTCCAAAAAAAACCGCATTAACTGTGTTCTTGGGGCTGAAATTTTTTTTTTTCCTTCAGTTTTTGCTTAGGGCACATGCACTTGCAGGAACAGGGGGTGGGGGGGCAGGGGGAGGGTTGTTGAGAAATCATCCCCTGGGGGATGACCATGCTACAGTCCCTTGTCCTTCGTTTTCCTCTCAGGATTTTGAATACACACACAGAGACCCACCATGATTGTCAAGCCAGGTCTGAGACTTGAACCATGAAGTGGGCCATGTGGGATCCAGTGCCTTAACCTCACACCACCTGCTGGCCTGAGGCTGAATATGACTGTCATCTTTATTTCTTGGCCTAGTCCTTAGTATATACAGATTCTTAATAAACATCAAGTTATCTCACGTTAAAGAATAAACAACAAAAACAAAAACTCTTAGAAATCCAAAACTGGGCTGAAGTCCTTTCTAGGCCAACTTTTAGCAATTTGAAAGCCATAGGATCACCTTCCTGTCTAGACCACAAATCGAGGAAGAGCTTCAGGCTGTAATTTGGTGAAATGTACCAGTCACAGAAATTTTAACCTTAACCTCGAATTTTTCCAGATGCCCCAAGAGAAAAAATCTCCTGGAAGACATAGCAACATCTCAACCTCCCCCCTCAGCAGTGCTGGTAGAGGGCTGGCACTCAGCCCTGGTAGCAACTA